TAGCGCAGGTGTAAGAAGTGCATGTGATATACGCATGTCTTTGACTTGTACAGCAAGCTCATCACCTATGAGTTTTTGTTCTATAGGTATGCATAGGCAACCCCCATGCGCCAGGGGTTGCATGATGTCCCATACCGATGCATCAAAGCTAAGCGATGCCGCTTGGAGCACTCGACTTTCGGCATTGATGTTGTAGAAGTGCGCCTGCGCTTGTGCAAAGTTGCTCAGGTTGCGATGCTCAAGCATTGCTCCCTTTGGTTTGCCCGTCGAGCCCGAGGTGTAGATGATGTAGGCCAGGTTATTCGGCCCCAAGCCTATTTCCTTGGCCCCTATGTTCGCCTCCGAGTGCCCTGCCCACCGCGTTTGATCCCACGCCTTTTCGTCTATGAGCAGCAGTTGCGCTCCAGCCGCCGCACGCAAACTACCACCCAAACGCTCTGCAACTTCCTGCTGCGTGATTACCACTACCGGTGCACTGTCCTCCAACATGTATTCCAGTCTGTCCTCCGGATAGTTCGGATCCAACGGTACATACGCCCCTCCCGCCTTTAAGACCCCAAGTAGGGCAATGATCATTTCTAAGCTGCGATTCAGGCATAGACCTACCCTCGCCTCCACTTTGACTCCAAGGTCTAGTAAGTGCCTGGCCAGTTGGTTCGCCCTCGCGTTGAGCTGACCATAGCTTAGGCTTTCTTGACCATATTGCAAGGCCTGCGCATCCGGCCTTTGTTGCGCATGTTTTTCTATGAGTTCATGTATGAGCGCGTTTTGGTCATAGTCCCGGCGCGTGTCGTTGAAGCTTTTAAGTAAGAGCCGCTTTTCTTGCAACCCCAATATTTCTATCGCCCCTATGTTGCGTTTCGGCTCTTCTACCATGCCTCGCAGTAAGGCATGAAAGTATCCCAGGTAACGCTCTATGCTGCTTTCATCGTAGAGACTGCTCGCGTAGTTTAGCGCACCAGTTATTTCTCCACCTTCCTCCTGCAGCGATAGCGAGAGGTCAAATTGCGCCGTTTGCGCCCCTATGTTTAGTTCTTCTAATTCCAGATCCCCCAGTTTGAGTTTTTGCTGCGGCGCGTTTTGCCACGCAAACATGATCTGAAATATCGGACTGTGCGCCATCGACCTCACAGGGTTGAGCGCCTCTACTATTTGTTCAAATGGAATGTCCGCGTTTTGTTGCGCACCCAACGCCACCCGTTTGGTTTGCTCCAAGAGCCCCTCTACACTCGGATCCCCATCCACACTGATCCGTAAGGCCTGCGTGTTTACAAAGAAGCCTATGAGCCCCTCAATTTCCGCTCGACCACGGTTCGCCGTCGGCGTGCCCAAGACTATTTCTTCTTGACCCGCCAAGCGCGATAGTAACGCCGACCACGCCGCCAAGACCGTCATGTAGAGCGTTACCCCCTGGCTGCCACTGAGTGTTTTGAGTCCATGCGTGAGCGCTTTGTCCACTTTGAATCCGACGCTTTGCCCCGCATAGTTTTGCGCCTCCCCTCGCGCCCGATCCAGCGGCAAGCTGATGAGCTCGGGCGCGCCTTTGAGGTGCGTGACCCAGTAGTCCAGTTGTTTTTGTAAGCTCTCCCCCTGCAACCATTGACGCTGCCAGAGCGCATAGTCCGCATATTGGATCGGTAGCGGCTGCAGAGGATCACCTCGGCCTTGCGCAAAAGCCTCATAGAGCTCCGTGAGTTCCCGCGTGAGTACACCAACCGACCACCCGTCCGAGATGATGTGGTGCATGGTGACCAAGAGAATGTGCTCCCCCTCCCCACATTTGAGTAGTTTGCCCCTGATGAGCGGCCCTTTTTCTAGGTCAAAGGGCCGCTGCGCCTCTTGGTCCGATAAGGTTTTTATCCCCTGGTCATCCAGCCCTTGCGCATCAAGGTATTCCAGCTGAAAGCGCCCCTCTTGTCTGATGTCCTGGACCGCATGACCATTTTTTACAGGAAAGCAGGTTCTGAGCGTTTCGTGTCTTTGGACGATTCCGTCCAACGCCCCCTGCAGTATTTCCAAGTTGAGTTGGCCCTTGAGTTTGAGACCACTTGGCATGTGGTACGCAAGACTGGCCTGCGGGTCTATTTGCGCTATGAACCAGAGTCTTTGTTGCGCAAATGATAGCGGCAAGTCTTCTCCTCTGTCCGCTTTGCCAATTGCCCCAAGACCACTTCGCTGCGCATGCATGAGTTCTTGCGCCAGGTTTTTGAGCACCGGCTGCCCAAAGAGTTGACCCAGCATGAGCTCTTTGCCCAATCTGAGCCTGATTTGCGAGATCATTTGTACCGCCAGTAAGGAGTGACCCCCCAATTCAAAGAAGTTGTCGTTACGACCAACTTTTTCAACTTTGAGCAGCTCCTCCCATATCCCCGCTAAGGTTTCTTCCTCATGACCCTGCGGCTGTTCATATTGCACACGCGCATACGCCCCATGATCCGGATCCGGTAAGGCTTTGCGGTCCAGCTTGCCATTGGCCGTTATCGGCAACGCTTCCAATTGTACGTACGCCGCAGGTACCATGTATTCCGGCAACTCCCGACCCAGCTCCTGCCTGAGCGCCGCCGCATCCAGCTGCTGCCCTTCTTGCAGGACTAGGTAGGCCACCAGTTGTTTGTCTCCCCCAGCCCCCACTCCAGCCCCCGCCCCAGCACGATCCCGCGCCAAGACTACCGCTTCTTTGACCCACGCATTTTTTTGTAGCTGCGCCTCTATTTCCCCAAGCTCTATCCGAAAGCCCCTGATTTTGACTTGGAAGTCGTTCCTCCCCAGGTATTCCACTACCCCGTCCGCCCTCCAACGACCCAGGTCCCCCGTTTTGTAGAGCCTCGCCCCAGCTTCCCCACTAAATGGGTCTGGAATGAATTTTTCTTGTGTTAAGTCTGGC